CGCGGACATGCTGGAGCCGAGTAAGTTTGCCATTCCGCAGAAGTGGGGGTGAGTTGGGTTTGCATACTTGAAGTTATTCAGAGCCTTCTGCCATGCCCGGTTCAACTCGACCCGTATCTTGACGCATCTGAAGATCTGCTCCTCACCGCCCTTGAAATCTATTCCCAACTGCAGTATGTCGCCGTCGTTGAGGGGATAGGCCTTGCTCTCCATGCCAGGTGCCGACAGTCGAATGTGGTTCAGGAACGTGCCGCTGGAGCTCTTAACATCCTTAACGAACCACTGACCGTTGTCGCACCAGAACTCGCAGTGCCGCCTCGACACCACCTTCGAACTGAAGCCGACGGGAGCGTGAGGGTTGTTGGCGTCGCGTTCGCTGGCACGGCCGACTCGAATGTGTTCGTCCTTCTGTCGCAGGCAGCGTTCGATCGGAGCAAAGTGCAGGGACTCGCGGTTCGAGCGGAGGTCTATGTAGGGCGTGAAGCGTATCGACGGCAGAGGCTGGTTGTCGGGATGAAGCCCCGCGCGGGCACCATTGCTGTTGGCAGTGACCATGGCGGATGACTGCTGTTGCGACGAAAAGGAGGGGCCGTGGGAAGATATGGTCTGGTCGATCGAACGGACGGCGGAGCTGGGGTCGGAGCCGTCGTTTGGAGGGGGTGGGACGTTTGTAGCATGCACGGTTGGCGTAGAAAGTTCAGCAGCCGGTAGCGACACGACACGTGATAGACCGCTCACACCACTAACGGTCGGTATCCATGAATTCAAGGCGGTGTTGTTCAGAGGCGAAGTGGCGCGGCGTTGGCGCGGAGGACGAGAAGAAGCCGGGGGGGAGGATGGATTCCAGGAGTTTGCGAAGGAGGGGGAGGCGGAGGAGGAGGAAGTGATGGTAGTGGTAGTGGTAGTGGTGGTTACGATGGTAGCGTTTGCAGGTTGGCCGTTGCCGTTGTTGTGGTTGCCAGTGTTGTGGTTGCCAGTGTTGTGGTTGTTGTTGTTGTTGTTGTTGTGGGAGTGAGAGTGGCCGTGAGCGTAGGAGCGTAGGTACGAGAGTCCGCGTAGTCGGCCGGTTCGCGAGCCCGAGTTTGCTGACGAAGTTGTAGTGGCGGAAGAGGAGTTATTGTTGCTGTTAGAGGAAGAAGCGTGTGACACAATGTGAGAGGTGGTGGCAATCCCAGAAGGCAACATTGTAATATGTAAAAAAATGCGCGAGCAGCAGCAACCCACCCTTCAAAATGTTCAATATGCCCAAAAGAAAGGCAAGGGGGGGCTATGTGAGCACTATGTAAGACGACCGCTGTGTTTGTGCGCGTAGGGGACCGATGTATACGGCAGTATGTGAGAGTCGGTACTCTACCTCGACTTCAACCGGGACAGGCAAATTCGCCAGAGAGGCTGGTTGGCTGGTGAGCGAAGCGCGCAGAGTAGGAGGTATGTAGAGTATGTAATTATGGAGATAGATGGCAATGGCGACTTCGAGTGGCAAAGAGGAGTGGGGGGTGGTTTAGGCCGGTGGGAGGATTCGAAGGTGAGGACGAGCGCGGTGGGGAGACTTCTCTCTTCTTCTTGCTCTGTCTCTGTCTGTGTCTCAGTCTCTTTCAGTCTCTGTCTTCCGAGTCTCGCCTCTGTCTCTCTTTCGGAGTGGGAATGTAGAGTACCGATAGCACCGGCTTGGAGTGGGAGGCGGAAGAGGTCGAGAACAAGGACGAGGAGGGCGGGTAGGGGATGCTGGCAGGCAGGCCAGGGAGGGATGTCAAGCTCCGAGGAATTGGCAGCAGGGGATGAAGTAGGGGCAACCCGCCGAGAAGGCTCCCAGAGTGCTTGGAGACTAGTGAGCAGAGGCTGGTAACTGTTACTCGGTTCGAGCTAAACTCGAGCAGTGGCAGCATGGTTATTGCGGTGTAGAGTACTCGACATACATGGAGCAGCGGAGCGGAGGCACGAAGACGACTTGCAGGTTGCCGCCTGGATTGCATTCCTCAGATCACACAGATAACTGCTTCCCAGAGCATCGACCCACAGCTCTGAGGTGATAGGCGGCCGTGGCGGCAGAAGCGGGAGACGACGGCAGATAGGCGGCGCGGGGGGCGTGGATGGGGAAGTGGGTCGGAGGTGAGACTACTACAATCATGCAGAATGTTCTTTGGCTCCGATGGCTATCACGAAATCGCGAAATCACGAAATGCATGGAGTAATAGCAGCAGCAGCAGCAGCAAGCAGCAACTCTGTCGACATCACGGCGAGCACGAGTACATACTCTACCGTAGTACACTCCGACGCCAACGGGACTTTGTAACCCAAGTACCACCTAGAGTACCGGTACTCACCCGTACTGTACGTTCCGCCACCGATAAACCAACAAACGGACGCCTCCAGATCGATAACTATCCCTTCCAAGTGGCACCCGTACTCTTCTCCACGCACTTCCCTTCACTGCCCTTCACTGCGGCCGTCGATTTGATTTTTCTGTTTGTCCGCAACGTTTCGTGGCAGGTAGGCTTGGTCTTCTCCACGCACGCTTGGTGTGGTGGCTTGGGCGATGCGATGAAATGGTTGTGCGTGGACCGCATCGGAACCCTTCGTTTGACAAGGTCGCCGTTGATTCGACTCCTCCGCGGACCGCGGTGCATGTAGTGTGTAATCATCAACAATCCGCCTCGCACCTGTCGTGGTTGAAACGAGACGCGAGACCCGAGAGCTTGCTAGATGCTGACGGCCCAGTGCGGGCGGTAACTATCCCGCCCCGGCCCCCCTCACCCCTCACATAAGTGCGATCTAGGTGTTGTCCCCGCCATCTAGATCTAAAGTATGTACGTGCTTTCGGCAAATTAGAGTACAGTTCAGAGATGTATGAGATGTGTGGGGGCAGTGTGTGATGAGCTGTGGAGTGTCGCGTCGAATGTTTCCGTCCCAGAATCGGGTGCGGTTCTTTGTTTGCTGCAGATGCGATCAGATGGATAAGCGGTTATAGCACATCAGATTAGATTAGATTATCGCAATGTGCACTCGGAACTTCGAGCTGGACCTCTCGTCCACTGAGCACTCCTGCCATCAACGACGCCCGTAATCACAGCCAGTACTCCATGTACAACAGATCCCTTCTGCCGAGAGCTGAGGGGCGGTGTGCGGCGCATCCTCGAGGGGATTATCGTTGATGTCGGCGGGGCTGGCGGAGTCGAGTGGGTCATCGTCATCATCACTCGTCCACTCGCTCACACCACCAGAGATGGTGGGTGCATATGGTTCCCTATCTCACACCATGCATATACCGAGCGCCGACTGATGCTCGTTACCTTCCCTTACCTTGGTACCGATTCTCCGATCTACCACGGTAGCGGACGTATGTAGAAGATGTCGAACTGCAACGGGTGATTAGCCAGCTCGGATGGCAGACGGGCCGCGGGGCATCCGGGGTTCGTTTCTGGCCCAGGTGTTCCCCTTTCTTTTTGGGCTCCCTCTTCGTGTTGACTTGGAGATACTACGTACTCTACTTGGTACGTATGTAGCTCTTCGCGAGATGCGGTCCCAGGCCAGGCAACGATCGCCTGAGGCCGAGCGGCGGGCTCGGAAACGGGCCGGGAAGTGCAGGAAATGGACGAGAATGTGGTCTTAGTTTTTCCGAGACTCGAGAGAAGTATGGAGATAGATAGCACACAGACACGCTGAAACGATAGGGAGTACCTACATGATCATATACTTGGCTTGGGTATCTACATGTGGTGCGCAATGGATTCGCCATTTTAAAGAGGCTAGACTTGACACGGGTGAGGATGACGTAACGTGATCCAGGCCGCCAGCCCGTCGCGTCCACTCTTTGACGCGTCTCCCCCGCCCCCCACCAGACGGACAGTATTCCCACGCGACGCCAGCGACCAGCGACCATGGACCACCCGCCCTCCACCGACGCCGCGCCCGACCACGACCACGACCTTGACCACGACCTTGACCACGACCTTGACCCCGACCGCGACGCCGACCATGACGACGACGACCTAGCCAGCAGCCTCTCATCCCTCACCGAAGCCGAGATCGAGGCGAAATACCCTCACCGACCACTTAACACGCACGCGACGTTCCCGTTCCATGTTTTATACACGAAGCTATTCGTGCCGCTGCTGCAGAACAAGACGAAGCGGACCGGGGTGGGACTGCGAGGGAACCGCGAGTTGAAGCCGCATGAGGTTAGGCGGAATATCATCGAGACTTTCGTCAAGAGGTGGAGGAGCGAGGTCGGCCCGGATATCTTCCCCGCGTTCAGGTTGATCTTGTGCGATAAGGATCGTGAGAGGAATGTGTGAGTGCTGGAGCCTGAGGGATTGGTGTGTGAAGGGGGGGTGGGAATGATGCTGATTTTGTGCGGAAAGGTATCACATGAAGGAGCAGCGCATAGGAAAGCTCCTCGTCAAGGTGATGAAGATTAGGAAGGACAGTGACGATGGATACGGCTTGCTCCACTGGAAGTTGCCTGGTGCATGGTCCAGGAGCGCTGGTGATTTTGCGCTGCGATGCTACGAGATCATCAAGAAGCGTCCGATGCGGACCACGCCAGGGCCCCTGACGATTGCGCAGGTCAATGAGATGCTGGATCGCCTCTCACAAGTAACCGGAGAGTAAGTGCATATCTCTTGGTTGGCCTTATCCAGCGAAGACGACTGACCGGCCGTAGTGAAAACCAACTACCGATCATGGAGGAATTCTACAACAACATGTGCGCAGAAGAGCTCATGTGGCTGATCCGCATAATCCTGAAGCAGATGAAAGTCGGAGCCACAGAGAAGACCTTCTTTGACGCCTGGCACCCCGATGCCGATACCATGTTCAATGTCTCATCCTCTCTGCGCCGCGTCTGCTGGGAACTGTACGATCCCGACTTCCGCGTGGGCGCGGACGAGAAGGGCGTTACTCTCATGTCGTGCTTTCAACCGCAGCTGGCACAGTTCCAGAAGAAGTCGCTGGCTACGGTGATCAAGGCTATGGGCGGACAAGAGTTCTGGATCGAGGAGAAACTGGATGGCGAGCGCATGCAGATGCATTTTGATAATGGCGAGTTCAGATGGTGGAGCAGGAAGGCGAAGGAGTATACGCATCTCTACGGCTCGAGCTTCAAGAACGGCAGTGTCTCGCGCTTCGCCGAAGGGATATTCGACAAGCGTGTCGGCAGCATCATCCTTGACGGCGAGATGATCACCTGGGATCCAACGGTGGACTGCATCGTCGGCTTCGGAACACTGAAAACCGCGGCGATCGAAACGAGCAACAATCCGGAGGGGATGCAGCACCGTCCGTTATTCCGCGTCTTTGACATCCTCTTCCTGAACGGCCAGAGTCTCCTCGACTACTCGCTCGAAGACCGCCGGAAAGCTTTGACCGGCGTTATGACCTCGGAGCCCGGCCGCATCGAAATCCACCAGTACAACTCAGCCACAACCACGGAGGAGATCGAGGCCGAGCTCCGGCAGGTCATCGCCAGTGCCTTCGAAGGCCTCGTGATCAAGAACCCGCGCTCAGTCTACCGCCTCAACGACCGCAACGACGACTGGGTCAAGGTTAAGCCCGAGTACATGACCGAATACGGCGAGTCCCTGGACTGCCTCGTGGTCGGCGGGTACTGGGGCACCGGCAAGCGGGGGAGCATCCTCTCGTCGTACCTATGTGCGCTGCGCGTCGACGGCAACGCGCTGCCGCCCGGGGCGAACCCGATGAAGTTCTACAGCTTCTTCAAAGTGGGCGGGGGCTTCACGGCGAACGACTATGCGACGATTGCGCACAACACCGACGGGCTGTGGCGGAAGTGGAATGCGCACCCACCGCCGGACTGGCTCGAGCTAGCAGGTGGCGACCGCCACTTCGAGAAGCCGCACATGTGGATCCACCCGGAGAACTCATTCGTAGTCGAGGTCAAGGCCGCCTCCATCGCAGCCACGGACCAGTTCCGCATGAACCAGACACTGCGCTTCCCGCGGTTCAAGCGGCTGCGCCCAGATCGCGACTGGAAAACCGCCCTCAGCATCCAGGGCTTCATGAAGCTTCAGGCCGACGCCCTGCACTCCGCGCAAACAAAGAAGCTCGACGTCGAGCGGCGCCGCCAGCGCAACAAGCGCGTAAAGAAGGAGTTCACTGTCGCAGGCGCGGACGAGCACTCGGTCCCGCGCTTCGCGGCCATCCCGGACACGCTCTTCGCCAACCAC